TTGTAGATTTTATAATTATTCAATGTCACAAGAGTAGAGAGACAAAAGAAATAGACACTTTTAGGCTTCAACTTGACAAGTTAGGAAAAATAAGAAAACATGTCAGACAAAAGTAAATTGTTCTACCTCAATATATACAGTAATTTATAAGAGTTAAAATGCATTATATACTCAATAGTTTTACAGTAAAGACAAACATTAGAAAAAACTTCAAAATAACCATTAAAATTTTAATTATGTAATTAAAATATTTTAAGTATTATTCATAGCAAAACTAAATAAAGAGAAAAATTACAGATGATTCCTTAATTTTTTCTAATATTGACTTTTTTTTTGTTTTGTGAAGCATATCAGCAAATAATGAAGAGAGAAAACTGGACAAAGAAGTTTCATTAAAATATAATGCTCAAAAAATATCCTGGTGGTGTATTTCTTCATTTTCTTTTCTTATACTTGAAAATTACATTTAGAAATGGAAGATACACATACCAAATTATGACAAGTGGAAAATTCCTTAGACCTTGTCACCTGGATAGACTGATTGTGAACAACATAAATTATAGAGGTTTAGTTAAGAAACTTCCCAAGTCATTATTTATTAGTGAAGAAATAAAAAAAAAAAAGAAGCAAGCTGGGCATTATAGCTTTTGCAATCAAGTGAAATGACTGTAAAAGGAGTTGAAAAGGATACACCTACATACAAGAATTGTGTGAATCTAAAACCACTGGTGACCAATATTTTTACCATATTAGTAGTTTCAATTAATTTTGTAGTTATTGTTAGTGCTGATTTTAGAAGTACATAAAAATATTGATCATAGGTATTAAAAAATCTTTTCAGCACTCTTGAAATACCAACAAAGAGCCTGTGTCTAAACCAATCTTTCACAAAAAAAAGAGTCATAAATACTGCTTGACTATTGCAGATTTTACAAGTATACAAATGTACTAAATGGAGTGCCTAAGAGATGCTTAAATCTTAAGCAGAGGTAGAAAGTCAGGTTACCTTATGACAAATGTCTTTCATATCTGAGGTTACAGATTTTGCAAGCACAAACTGACTACAGTGGGCACAGGAATAGGAGTTCATTTTCAGTATTTCAACCATGATAAGGAACTATTTTAAGTCAGATTTGTTTTGGTTTGTTTTAAAGTGTCTTTGAATTATGATTAATATTGTTAAGATGATTTTTGGAAGTATATAAAAAATGACTGAATTAAGATTGATAGCACCATAGGTAGGACTGATAAGTGATTAATAGTGAGGTTAGCCTCTACATGAGGGTGAAATGGAGGTTGATGAAGAATTAGACACCGGTTTCCAAACCAACCACTAGGAGATAGTTGTTCCCTCCCCTACTATCATCAAATAAAACAAGGAAAAACTTAGCCATTTCCCTACCATTTGTTTACTTTTTTATTTTCTCAGCATACAATTCAGTGGAAATTTGAAAATTGTATCCCACAACAATGAAAACTTTAATCAAGATGTCAAATCTAGTAGTAGATGTCCTGACAAAAGGTAATTGCTTAAAAGCTACAGTCATGACAATGATGATCTCAATTTCCTAAATTGACTGACATACCCAACAACACCCAGGATGTAACCATGCGTGAAATGGGATGAGGTTACAGTCACAAATATTTATAAACAATCATCACACATCATCAACTAGCCAATTCAAGTGGTCAGTGTTGCAGATACCTACAGGTCAGTATTGTCAAAAAGTACAGTGTCATGAACAAATGTGGTTGGTTAGCTCCAGTCAGAAATTGGACTGTTTTTATGACAATTAAAATTGTGTTAGTCTAGTAGGTTCATGAATGTCACTTGTGAATAAAAGTTTGCCAGAAGAAAGGATTGAGACATTGAATCTTTTAGTTTCAACTTTTGCTTGCTTTATTATCAAATCTGACTATGCTGCTGCTGTTGTTGTTGTTGTTAGACTTTTCCTTTTCTAGTAAGTGTTTAGAATCTTGTAACTAAAAATAAAAATCAATCTCCATGGTATGATTCATTTATGATGTAAAAATAATTACCATTTAGGTTTCTTTCAGCTGAGAGAAGTATCACGTTTGAATAATAAATTCAAGATAATATTACAAAGAATTTTCAACCATTAGTAATTTTTTCTATTACTTCATTCATATTAATTTAAGTTGTTTTTCATTACAGCTATTTAAATAACATCAAAATATTGCAATTTATTGAAACAAAGCAGGTTCAGTTGACCATTGATGACAATTTCAAAAACTATAAACAATTTTTTTTGCTATCCTCTGCCAGCCGCAATGATGGAGAAAGCATTACCTCAAACCATCGCCAGTAAGACACGCTGCAAGAGCCACTCCATTTCACGAGGCTCATCCCTTAATCGAGACGCAATCATGCCAATCCTCCGAAGGAACATCATCGAACGAGGGCCAATAATCCCTGAAGTCTTCATTGAGGAGTAAAAAAATATCTATCAGCAAGAGAAGAATATTTAACTATTTTTTTCATCTCTGCATCCCAGGCAACGGACCCTGGCTCAACCGCAGACCTGATCAAATTACCGGCCGAAAATGTATCCTCACAAGTTGCATCCCAAATCAACGACTTCCCCATTTTAAAAGGGAAAATGGTAATGCCATCCGGCCACTTTCCATCACCACGGTCGAGGCCTACGAGTTTGATTTGGGAAGGGAACTCAGCTGCATCAAAAACTCTTTTGATGATATCGTTTATTGCTGCATGCCGTAGAAAGCAGCCGGCACTACAATGACAGGAGAGAGGATGCAAACCAAACTTATCGATGGAAGCTCCACATCTGCATCTATTTAAATTATCATTCTACAGCCAGAAATAAAGAACAAACTCTCAGTGAGGATCATCTATCTACAAGTACTTTAGTATTTCAATTAAGCTGATGATTTTCAGAGATCCACAACATTGATTTTGTGAATACATAGGTTACTGCTAAATTTACATATTTTTCACTTTACCAGTAGGAAGAGAAAAAAAACTCATAAAAGTTAACTTTATCAAAATTAAAGTACTTACTTATTTTATGTCAACTTGTGATTATTTCATTTTTTTTATCAAAAAGCTTGACATGTTGACACTACAATTAAATATGCTCTGAATAATAATATAATTTTAATGACATTGCCAAACATATTGATAAGTGGCTCCTTGAAGTAGAATTTTTCATTAAAACTGTTCCCCTTAAAGAAAAAGCTCAGAATACAAGAATAGAATCCTCATCTGAGAACTGGATTATGTAGACAAATGACAAAACCTTTTGACTACATTGAAAAATATTGCACATTCAATGGTGCCACTGGCAATAGCTTTTGAAAAGAACTGCTCAATCATGATTACCAGAGATAATCAACATCCAATTTTATTCATGAGAAGGACATATCCATGCAAGGAAACTCTTGCTAGATATTAATTCCAAGGCAAATTACAATATGCAATACTGATCTCTCTTGATACCTTTTTGAGCCAGAGAAATTAACAGCTCAACTGCTAAATCACTTTGGCCAGAAAGTTAAACTATGAGATACAAAGGATTCAACAACAGGCACAGGTTTGTATCTCAAAGGAAGCAATATTCTTTCTGGCTTTCTTAGAAATTTGCTGTCTGTTGAGTACCCATAATAAAAATGACCCTCTTCTGTAAGGGTGGGCACTTAGGGAAACAACAGGGAGTACTAAAGAAAGAGAACCCCTCAAAAGGCTGCAAAAAGAGTTTGATGCAAACATTCAGGAAGGCAAGGAGTACAGAAATTAATACACCAAAATCACATAAAAAGCCATATCCAAATTATAGACATTTGGATTTTCATTACAATTTAAAGCCAACAAGGGGAGGTTTTGTTTGCATAAGGAGATGTTTTTACAAAATCCTCAATAACAAGACCACGTCTTTTTGTTATTTTTTCAGGAAAATAAAACCAATAGTTAAAATATTTTTTGAAGATTTAAAGTACCCCAAATTTTAAACTATCATGAGCCTTGATAAATTTATAACGGACTTGGTCTAAAAATCAAATATTTTGTTGAAATATTTTTAAACTGTTTAAAAAAAAAAAAAAATATATATATATATATATATATAACCACTTTATCAAATTTAATAACTGAATATATTTCAAAATGTACATTTCTGAGTTTTTACAGTGAGCTTTTCCAAATAGTTTGACTCAGAAAATTTAATCCAGTGAGGATGCAGTTTCTTGTTTCAGTCAAAGAGAAGAAATTTCCATAATATGTTGCATAAAACCTATGGATAAAATCCATAGAATGTACATGTTCTGTCTGATATACTTACTGTATATAAATGATCTTATAAATGTTCCACTAGAATTAATCAAAGAGTTACCTCCCTTATAAATTTAGATACGGCAGAGAAAAAATAACAATATTTGAAGTTGTCTTGACATTGGCTAAAAAAAACAGATAATTTTTAAAATAAATTATATATATATATATATATATATATATATATATATATATATATATACACGAGAGAGTATTTTTTCATAGACTTCACCTTTAACCAGATGAGAATCAATTTATGGAGTACATATTTCAATTAAAAAGAATGTGGATCCTTCAAAGGAACAGGTATTTCTATATCCAACATTATTCAGATCTTCAAATCACTTTTTCTGTATTTTTACTGTTATCATCACATCTTTTCAGCCTGAGTGTAATCCATAAGAAAAAAAGAAACTTCAAACTTCTCACAGATTATACCTAAAGGAAACTGAAAAAGAGATCAGCCAAAAATACAGGCTTGAGCATCCAAATAATATTTAATCTTGGATATGTTAATGTCTCTTCTCAGTGTTAAAGAAAATGAATTATTCTTCCTTTGGGATAATAGAAATTAAGAAAGTGTATAATTTTTTTTTCTTTTTACAAGAAATGAAACAACAACAAGACATTGTTTTTCTTTTTGAAGAATAAAAAAATTGTAGGTATTGTCATAGAATCAACAATAAAAGTGTCAATAAGTCCAAAGTCTGGAATTAGGGTTGAAGAGTTGGGTGGTTGTGTAAGAAAAAGAGAAGGGAGGAAAGAAAAAAATGGAGACAAGAAGTTGCCGATTTGTTAGTGGGAAGATAGGATTTGGATCAGCGTCACTGTACAGATTCCACAAAATACTGACTCTCTTTCAAGTAAAGTTTGAGACTTTCTGGGATAGGCAGGTCGTCAATGAGGTCCCTACGGACAAAACCCAGAATGGAAAATCGACACAGGTGCATGAGAGAATTAACAGCATAAAACCTTGAAACAGGATGAAGCAGGCGGATGGGCACAGGTGGCATACCTGGTCCTGGGGCTTGCAAGAAGTAGAGGAATTTTCCATCTTCAGAGTTCTGCATAGCCTGTTCCATAAAGTCTTTGATCATACACCTTTGATGGGATTCAGGCTGGGAGGAGAAACTGAAAAGACCTGAAAAAGAAAGAAACAAAAATCTCATACTCAAAAACAAGCACAAAACATCACTTATTACTCTTTGTCGATTAATTTTATATTGTCTGCTCTACATTTAACACAGGCTTTTATTGTCACAAAGAAATTCCATGATAATGCATATCATTCCTCATCACTCACTGAAGACAAACAAAATCCATTTTCACAGTTTCAGTATTAATAAAAGTACAAATTACCAAAAGGTTGCCTCAGGGAGATTTGGGTTTGAAATCAGTTGGGAAAGGCAAAGAAAATCTTCACACATGGAGTAGAATGAATTTACAGTAAAGAAGAAAAAATGGATAAATACAGCAAAAGGAACAAACTTCCATCTCTAATAATTGGAAAGTTTTTTCTTACCAACTGAGTATAACAATTACTTTTCTTTTAATTTTTCTTTGGTTTTATGTTTAATAGGGGCTGGAATAGATTAACAGTGTACATTTGTGGGTTAACCGCCAACCCACCAAGAGTTTTAGCAAATTGATGAATGATGAAAATCTCCTCCCAACATCTGCATTTTGTAGAATTAAGTTCTATTAAAAAGAGTAGTGAATGGAAAATGTTTAAAAAGAAAAAAAAGAAAAGAAAAGGGAGTTGGGTGGTGGAGTCCATCCAAAGTGAGTGTATTTATAAGTTTCTATAAGTCATGAAGAAAGTCATGTGAAAGACTTCAGCTGAACAGAAATTAAGAAATACTTTAAACTTCAAAGAATTAACTAGATTAAAAAAGCAAATGCTTATTTAAAGAGATATTGGAAGATATGTAGAATTAAGGAAAGACCAAATGAAGAAAAAACTTATAATTTCACTCTTTTATTTGAGAGAGAGTAGGGAATAAATAGATGAAAAATGAAAGAAAAAAAAAATATGAAAAATAAGGAAGAGCCTGGGTACATTTCTATGTATAACTAAGAGAAAGAGAGTGAAGCAGGTCAGAAAATGCAGAAAACAGGAAATATAATAAACTATTAAATAAAGGAAGAGAAAGTGAAAAGAGAGAATTGGAAAATAATGCAACCATGTGTATCTGTGTGTGGCTTATATTTGAAGTAGAAGAGACCATGCTGAATTGGTTGCAGTTTACTGCAATAATGAAGTAACAGCTGCAGCAGCAACCAACTGAGACAGAATTAATGGGAATAAAGAAAAATAAGAACTGAACTGAAGACAATGAAATGTAATGTCATCTATGTGTTGGGTTGAGGGAAGTGATTTTTGAGGTGCACTCTACCTTCTCAAAGTTCTCCTCTGCCCACTGTGAAGAAAGATAGTGGGTGGGGTGTGTATAAAGGACTGCTAGATCTAGGTCAAAAAAAAATTTGTAATCATTCCTTATTTCTTAAATACCACCGATATTTCAGAGGTTTAATTTTGCTACCTTTCAACTCTGAAAATGCATCAGCAGACACACATACATGCGCACATAAATGCATATACACAACTGCACAGGCAGTTATGCATACATAGATACATACACTTATAGCATGCTCACTTACACAAAAGTATACACAGTACATAGGAAAGTATATCTGACTGCAAACAATCTAAGTACAAAAACACACACAGAAGCAATCAAATATATACAAGTTGTTATAAATACCTACACATTGAATTTGTTTACAGTTAAACATCTGTGTATAACTGAACAGAAAACACTAATACATACATTAATCAAAAGGTATGAATACATCCATATCTGTAGAATTGTTAACAACTTTACAATATATTATTTCTCTCTTGATGTCATAACTTTCTTCCATGGAATCTTTATCAGAAATGAATAAATATCAATAACTATCATATATCTCATAAAAATAAATCATAAAAAACTTAATATCAGTTTTGTTGTGAAAACACTGATCTGACTAATAAAAACTGACATTGTGTATGTTTCTAATTACTCAATTACTTTTATGATGACTGGTTCTGTTGATAATTGTTCAGCTGTATTTTTGTCTCTTTCTCTCCCATTTTATTTGTAAACACATGTAAACCTTACTTCCAAATGTCATTATAAATGCATATACACAGACTGTGTGTATATATATATATATATATATATATATATATATATATATGTATGTATGTATGTATGTATGTGTGTGAAAATATATGGAAAATAGAAAAGAACTCGTTAGGTAAATAATCCAAAGTTCTTTAGTATTTTTGTTATTATTTTTAAAAAACAGTGCTCGATACAAAAGTAGAGCCTAAATATAATTATTTATTTAAAAATATGATTCCATCGCTGCATAAGAGTTCTCATGTTTCAAAATAAGAGCGGAAACCTTCAATATAATTATTTGAATTAAATTGAATTAAAGTACCATCTTCAAGCAAATTTTTTTGGCCAAAACCTTTTTTAATTAATAAAATGCATGGAATAAATTTTTTCTAGCTTGTTTTACATGGATTTCACTTATCAATTCGTCCAAAAGATATATTTTCAAAATACTTGATTAAAAGACAAATTTTAAACTTGACCAGTAAGTCTGAGATATATAATCAAATAACATCTTTTTTCTGCTAATATAGTTGATCTTTGATATATGAGCCTACACATTAGTGCAAAGGACTTTACTGACACAGAAACAATATCAAAATTAGCATCTAAGTACAATATAGCAACATACATGAAGGTTGGTCAATATTGTGCCTCAATATTCTAAAAAGAATCAAGTATAAAGTGAGTTTTGAACGTAAAAGGCATAATGGATGTCCACATTTGAGCACTCAATAACAAGATGGCTACATGCTAAATATTTGTAGAAGAAATAAAGATATCACTTTGTCATATTTGAAATGGAAGTGCGATGTTGAATGCAGCCAGTCAGCTTCTAAGTGAAGACTAAAATAATCTGGAGTGGTAAGGTTAACAAACATCTTCCTAAAAATATGTAAAGCCAGATTAGACTTTTATAATAAATTCAAGTTTATGCAGATGGTTGGAGAAAGGTCATTTTTAACAGTGTGGACTGAATGTTTCCAGCAGTAGAAATAAGAATATTTGCAGAAAAATGTCCTAAAAATGTGCAAACTTTGTAATAAAACACACTGTAATATTCTGTCTATTGATTATGGCAGAGCGATGCATTGAAAGTTGGGTGAATGAAAATGTACCTAGGCATTCTAGAAAATAGACTTCTGTTTAAACACTGGTTTGTTAGCCAGAGTTTCTTGAGTTTGTTAACTCAAGAAATTGGATATTCCAGCATGATAATGCCTCTGGTTACATTGTACATTTCTATTTTAAATTGAGAAAATTAGTATTCTAGACTGGCTAGCATATTCTTATGATTCAAATATGATAAAACATTTTGGGGGAGTGGGGTACTCAAGAATTTCTTAAGTGAAGAAAGGTAAACTAATGACTAGACATTTTAATAATTTTAATGGCAAAATAAAATAACATCTAAATACTTAGATTCCTTGCCTAAAAAGCTTCAAGCAGCATTGCTAGCAAAAGGAGAAAGCACAAAATATTATTATGAGTTGTGATGCTTCATTTGATAATTCTTATTTGTTAAGTGCAAATATGAATTTGGGTTCAAAATAAATAATCAGACATTTAGCTGTAAAAGTGAACAGAATTGTGCTAAAAGAATTTTCACTTTGTCAAAATTTTTGACTGTTAATATATTTTGATTCACAATGTATGGTTGTTAGTAGGATGTAGGAAAATTTTATCTGAGCAAAAGTAGAGATAATGAGATAAAGTGGCAACCTTGAACAGGTTTGCAACAGGTCTTCAGGTCGGAAGAAAGACAAATGTGTGTAAGGAAAGCATGTTGGAATTTTAAGGAAGAGGTAATAAATATTCTTATCAGATTTTTCTTTACCCTCCTGTAGTGAAGCAGATAATGTTTGTTTTTGATCTTTTCTCTTCTAATCAGACTGAAATTAGGCTGACATTGTGGTCAGCTGTGTTACACTGCTCCTAATATATAGGTAGCTTACCAGAACACATCTAGCTACAATTTTGACTTAATAAATGTCAGTCTGATGAAAAGAGAAAAAAAATGATGAAGAAAATACATTGAAACTGCACTTATCTCACAATTCTCTATGGTCATCATTAGGCCAAGCTTATATATGACATCACTGATCATTGCAAAAGCAATAGTAGCACAATAACAGATCTACTCAGAATTGGACAATTTCAAATCCTGAAGACATTAATGGCTTCAATACAGATAGCTGTAGCATCTAATAAGGATATTTATTATTTCTTCTTCAAAATTCCAACCCACATTCCTTATATGCTGGTTTGTCACTCATTCTAACCTGAAGATGCCTGCTATAAAGAGGTGAAATATGTTGTCTAAATAGATTTTCCACTTCATTATCTCAACTACACACTGTATGTGCGTGTATTGTGTGTGTATATATATATATATATATATATATATATATATATATATATACACATACTGGGTGTGATGGATAAACTGTCATCTAAATTATGCAAAAATGAAAATAACATTGACATCTCATTTTAACAGATATATTTAACAAAATTACACAAAAATATCTTGAAATAAAAAAAAAGTAAATTTATCCAATAATATCACCATTGGCTTCAACAACAGCCTCCAAACGACTTCAGAATCTCCCGAACACTTCTGGACACTCTCCTTGTTTAAGTTGGTGAATGCTGCCATAATACTTGCTATCTTTGGTGGTACAAGGAGTTTTGTTGGTCTCTTGCACCCCACACATGATAATCCAGGAGTTAGGTGACCAGTTGTAAGGAGTGATGTGGTCACAGAAATTGTCTGACAGCCATGACTAGGTTCTCCTGCTTGTGTGGCATGGTGCAGAGTCCTGTTGCCAGACACAATCAGCAGCCAACCTCTTGACCCAGGGTAGCACTACTTCCTCAAGGCACTTGATGTAGGCCTCCATGTTGAGTCTGGGGCCCTCAACAACAAAAGTGAGTTTTCCAAACTGCCGTTTCTTCATAAGCCTCATTAGAC